TGGAGTGATTATGTATTTTGCAGGCGAACGTAGCAGTCAATTTGCACATAGCAATGTCCCAAATGAAAATAAATTAAATTCTAAAACGCAATGGGAGTTAAATGAAGGGTTATGCAGGCAAAATCTTAGAACCTTCTGGTTAACAATCAAGTGCTCCACAGGGTCACTGTGCAACAAACATTTTATTCTATTAAACATGTTTCTGCTCCTATGCATGTGTTCTCTATTGCTCTCAATGAAAGGTGTGAGCTGCAGAACCTCAAATTTCTGATAATGTTGCTCCAGGCCATGATTACAAGCACAATTGTACAGTGGCAAGATGGGCAGTTCTTACTCCCATGACTCAGATGGGAACTATCAAAATCAACAAAGCCTGGTAATATTCTAGCATCTGGAAGAAATATTTCAAATTGTAACCTCTGATTGTAAATAAGCGGTCTCAGTACTATGCTACCTGTTTGACAGTTTTTGATGAGAACTGTTTCCTATGGACAATATATCAAAAAATAAAGTTGAAATGCATTTGTACACATAGATTTAACAATAAACTCTGGTTGGTGAGTTTTGTTTTCTATAAACCAATATTTAATAATGAAAGCCTCGGTAAAAAAACTTATCACCAACTTGTTCTTTATGGCTTTAACAGCACAGTACATTAGAACACCACAAATAACTCTCTTTGCACATGTATTGTGGAATTAAATACATTTCTAAATGCACATGCAATTATTCAAACTTTGTTCACATAGCATCATGATTTATGCTAGCTGTAGAGCAGATGTTCTCAACTCACCATGTGCAATAAAGGGCCTTGCAGTAACATACTTAGTTTATACTTGACAACATACTTATTCATCACTAATGAGAATAAACTTGTCCATTGCATTTGATCTGTTGAATTATCACTTTTGATACAAAACAATCCTTATGTCCTAAAGAAGCTGCATTTCCTTCCATCCAAATTGTTTAACGTCATTCATTGTTAAATACATTTTAATGGCAGTTATTTAGCTTTAGAAATCTGTATTATGAATAGAATACAAAACAATGGACAAAGAATTCATGATGGCCTTTTTCACTTATACACCTCATAACTTAGGTGGTCATGTTATATTCATTGTCCCTGCATCTTGATCACTGTTATTGGTTTTAAACATACAAAATTACCAAGCATTTGATAGAATGCTTAAAATCTTTACAGGACCACACTGCACGTCACTCAATAGATATGTAAAAATAAATCAATAGTTTTGAACATAAAACCTGCACATAATAAAATAAATCCTAGAATAGCAAGTTATCCTAAATGAAGTGCAAACTTTAAAGTCTGAGGAACAAAATTTAAATAGTCCTCAATAATCACATTCTTAAAAATTTAAATGCAATACCAATTTGTATGATGTTCACAAGGCAACAAGTTTACATTGAAGAAAATGTATTACTCTTATATTTTTTTTAAATGTTTTTTTTTATGTTGTACACAACCTCGGTGTTGATGGTTAGGTCAGAACAAGGTACATTTATTTATCAATACTATTCTTTATAGGCCAGATACAGTTTAGGCCAGAGTTGCAATTAATCAGGAAATACTGTAAATGAGGTTGGCACCTCTCAGTGAGTCTAAAAATGTAATAGACATGGTTGGGGGTGGTGGAGTAGTCTTTACAAATACACATGTTTTTACAGCTCTGGTGGAACATCTAGTTCAACAAGTGGTTGAATGTCTAAGATTAGCCTTTTAAAATAAGTTCTTAAATTCTGCATTGCGTGTTTTGCATGAAAAACAATGTATCTCGCATTTGAAATGTACCCATGATATTCTATTCAAGGGTTCACAAAGCTTATTGCACAAAATATATAATGGATTTAGTGCAATTTAGTTAGTCATTCACAAGACCCATCAAGTTTTCTATTTGAATCGTCACAGCATCAAATATTATATTGTATTTGGCTGGCCACAATAAGTTTTAATACTTTTATCTCTGTAGCCACTGCATTGTTATTTATAAAGAAGCTGGTGAATACTTTTCAGATTGGACAGAACAGACCTTTAATAATCATTTGGTTTGGTCAGCCTGATGTCTTGACACCTGTGGAAACCCATCACCAAACTTAAGAGTATCCAAACCAAACTAAGAATCTCATACATCTCACCTTTACATGGAAATTCCAGAGATGTTTATTGAAATGGAATGTGCACTCTCTCCCTGAAGGGACACATCCTACTTACCTAATTTGGTGCAGGTTGGCAAGAGCCAAAGCTTAGGGAGCCCAGAGTATACTTTGGAATACTGCTGGAGTCTATCCAGGTAAAACTACATAGCTTGCCATTGAGGGCACTGTCTGGCAAATTTTCCCACTGCTTGCCAGTGAGGACCACACTACCAGTTAGGGCTTCAACTTGCAAGGTTAATGGAAGCTGATTGCAAAGAGTTCCTGCGCCCAGTGACTAGTTTGTCCATCCAAATCCTGCCAATGAGTCTAACTGCCTGTGCTGTCATCAGCAGTACCCTTGCTCAGGAACTGGACGACTGAGACTGCCGCAGAGGGTTGGCTCGATGAAATTCTGTTGCCAAACATTGCCACCTTGGAGTCAGTTAGGGCAGGCCCCACCTTATATAGAATTACATAGAATATGCAACACAGAAACAGACATTTCTGGGTATAGAACCAACTGGTCTATGTCGGTGTTTATGCTCCACTTGAGCCTCCTGCTTCCCTTCCTCAACTAAGCCTATCAGCATAACCTTCTATTCATTTCTCCCTCATGTACATAACTAGCTTCCCCTTAAATGCATCAATGCTATTTGCCTCCACTACTCCTTCTGGTAGTAAGTTCCACATTCTCACCACTCTCTGGGTAAAGAAGTTTTTTCTGACTTCCCTATTTAATTTATTGGTGACTATTATTTATTGATGGCCCCTGGTTTTGGTCTCCCCCACAAATGGAAACATCTTCTCTACGTCCACCCTATCAAAGCCTTTCATAATTTTAAAGACCTCTATGAGGTCACCCCTCACCCTTCTCTTTTCAAGAGAGGAGTCCAAGCCTGTTCAGCCTTTCCTGATAGGTATAACCTTGCAGTTATGGTATCATCCTTGTAAATCTCCTCTGCACCTTCTCCAGCGCCTCTATATTATATAAAGGATATGGGGACTTTCTATAATATGGAAAATAAAATGGAGATATATATTTTAATATATATTAGCTTGAGCATCTTAAGTTATTTCTGACTGTTACATGCAAGTCATATCATCTTTCCCACTAAACAGATTTGAAAAAACTGATCGCAATCTAAACCTATTGAATATTTATTCAAAAACAAAGGTCGCTGGGAACACTCAGGAGGTCAGGCAACATCTATGGAGAAAGGAAAGTAAGTCAACGTTTCGGGTCCATGACCCGAATATTTATTCAATATGTACTGTATTCCTGTATAAATTCTGAACAACACTGTATTCTGTAGTGTTTGACTGTATATTTATATGGAGATAATAATCTATGCTCCTCCTTGAATTTCAAAATTAGATACCAAAATAAAACCTGAAAATATCATCATATACACACTATGCACTTCTGTACTTTCAGAAAAGCATTCCTGATCACTATATCTTTACCTCAGAGTTTAGTCATGTAAAAGCTTTTCACTTTCTGAAAGCTGTAGATGAAAGCAGTTACAATAGTCATCTGAAGATTTATATTGTACATACAATTCAAGAACATATCCATTGCTCTCTAGTGATTTCTTCAATGACAGATATGTTGCGTATGCAAAAGATATCAGATTTTTTGCCATATATTTTAATCAATGCTCTAAGTACACAATCTAATCTTTCAGTTATTCGATAAAACATGGGATGAAATAGGCATTGCCACTGCACTCTGACAAGATTATTTCAATACAATTTGTTAAACATAAAATTTGCTTTGTTACAACTTCACCAATCACATTCTAAAACATGCACATGTACAGGAAAGAATAATTTACATATAAAAGTGAAATGATTCATAAGATAATCTTTGGTAATATAATTTTAAAAATAACTACACCATACTTAAACTTGGCTTTATTATGTGTTACAATGAAACTAGACTTTCAAGTCACCTTGATTTGATAGTGATTCACACTAGGATATGAAAAAGGGTGGGACAGAAAAAGGGAGATTATCTAAAATATCTAAAACGTATTTATATAAAAAACTAAAATTATCACATTATAGCAAGTAGAAGCCATCCTAAATCATGTAGAAATTCTCTACAAAGATGTCTTCAGTTGAATTTGAGGTTGGAGGAAGGAAAATAAAAGCAAGCTGTGCTGATTAAAATAAGACTGTACATCTTGCCCATGTGAATTGATGCTCAAGCCTTTTGTTCAACTACAATTTCAAGAGAATTTTTCTTTAACCTACTATCAGTCACATGCAATCAAATACTGTATAATTAAATGGTAGATGAACGTGGATTAAGCCAGCCATCTTCAATACCATTATGATCATTATTCATTGCTGCCACTGTGGTTGGATCTACAGCATAATACTTAAGTATCTGTTACATAGATTCAAAGGCCATCAGTTTTTAGCAACTCATTTACGTTAGTCTCCAAGGTGACCAATTTAGATTGGTTTTATTGCAACACATTTCTTATTACCATACCAAGCAAAGAGCCATCTATATATGAAATAAATAATGTTTTGTGCTGTGTTCAAATCAACATTGATTTACAAAAAAGGCCACAAGTCCTTGGAGGGCAATATGGCACTAACCAAACATCAAGAGCAACTGTACAATTCTTTAGAAAGGCCTCGGACATCTATTACTGGCAATGGATTTGCCGTATGTTACCCGATTACATAACATGTGAAGCCTACAAATCAAAACTAAGAATGTTTAAATGCTCTCCCAGAATTTTACATTTGTGATCTCCTGGATACTAGGTGAACAAATTCAGATATGAACCTGTCCAAAAGTAATGCTCCGTTTGTATACCAGAAAACTCATGAATCTGTTAGCAGTTTTAATTATAAACCATGTGAGTTTAGCAAATACACCTCAGTTCAAGTTGCAGAGAAGATTTTACTTTTGCATGCTACGGTGTACAAGAAACTTTACCATCACAAATGACTTAACAAAAGCCATTTTGATGGAAGTGGGGGGGGTAGGGGGAGAAGGATTGCATCTCGGAGAACTTTTACAAAAAGCATCATTTAGTTTTATTTTATCTTTTTTCTCTGATGCCTTGCTTATTTTAAAATACTGTAGTTGTAGAGATCAATGCTGACCTGGGCTGATTAAAAAGGCAATTTCCTCCTGTTCATACATCACCACTGAACTGGGTGTTATTATGAGGTAGCTTGACCATTTCATGATCATCCAGTGCCTCCTCAGCTAGAGGTGCTGTTAAAAGTACCGCAAGATCCTTCACAGTTGCAAGCTCTGCCAGTATTGAATTATTCACAATCTGAACAGACGAGCAGGAGGAAGCTGTATCCATCCAAAAGGCTCATCAGTTTAACTTTGCACTGGCACACTGATAATAATTGAAAGGATTTACTATTACAGTGTTTTTTGTCCATTTCTATTATTGACAGGAACAAGAACCAATCAGGACAATGAAGATTTAAGATCAATACAATCACAGGCCATTTTGTATTGATGACAAGTACGGCCAAAAATACATCAAGACTTATGACACTATCTTCAAAGTTATGATGTCTGTACATCAGTCATATTCAAAGAGGGAGACATTATAACATACTTTTAAAGTACACAAAAAGGACATCTGCTTAGCAACATGCATCCACCTACATCAACTTAGCAACAATTGCAACTGGGCATCATTTGTTTAACACCCAAACAAGCTTTATTATAAAATGGCACAAAATCAGCTTCCTTGGTCTATTCAAAAGCTATTATGTGAAAACAAACTGATAAACCGATGTGACAGATTGTTACTTGTTGGACAATGTTCCATTATGACGTACAACTGTAAATGGGTTAATAAGATGGGAATTGTATCGCTTAAAGAAAGTATTGTTTAAAAATTGAAAATTTGACAGTTACCACCCACTGATATTGTGCTATCTAAAAAATATTCTTTACATCGGAAAAATATTAAAGCAACAATTCTGCATTTTCCCCTGGATTTCAGATTTTCCTTAGCTATCTTGAGATGCTGTACACAAATCTACAGCAGTATGAATGTCAAAATCCAATAGGATTATTGGAAGCTTGAAGTGAATTTGTTATTTGAATGTCCTTGGCAAACTGGATTAAAACCTGCAACTCAAGACTGCTAAAGGATATGCAGTATCTCCTTCAATTGTTTATGTAGTTAAATGTAGTTGCACGCTTTCCCCCTAAACTCAAAGCATTGAATGAGTTCACATGCCTAGTTTTTGTTCTGCACCACATTTACAAGTAAAACAAAATTTTTAAAAAAGCATAAAAAGCAAAACTTGCTCAAAACATTACTGTTTGGGGATGCTGTAAAAAAAATTGAAATCACACCATCTGCTGAAATGAAACATAATACTGAGAAAATTGAATCACTTGTGTTTTTTAATACGGCTGTTGATTGCTTAAATTACCCTGAAAATAACATCTAGTTTGCTTTTTTTAAAAAGTTAGTGTTGAGTGTTTATGGTATTATATGTTCACTATGGGCATTTCTAAACTGACCAAACCCCACTGCAATTACTACAAAAGTTCATTATTTTCAATAACTGGAGACCTTTTGTCAATCAAGTCTGCCTTACCTTATCTTTATATATATATATATATATATATAATATTTAAAACAGTTTGCTTTGTACTGTTGTGAATTTCTGACCACAAGAATGTTTAATCAAAACTTGGTAGCAGATTTCATTGTGGAAAACAAGATTTTACAGCATTGGGATAAAATAAGTCAACAGCAACTGATAGGTAAGTGGATTTCGGAGATATTATTGATAAATTATTGTTTTTGTTGCATCTAGCACATGTATTGGTGTTGTGCATTATGAAATGTGCTTTCTCCATAGATGTTGTGATGTTCTGGGAACTATAGCCCCATTAAACTCCAGGACTTTTTGGACAAAGCTAAAATAAAAACTAAAATGTCATGCTCTAAGTGTCTAACCTCAAGCAACTGGACAACTGTTTTTCAGCAAACGCCACAACACATCAAAGCAATTTGTTCCCTCAAAGAACTGAAATATTAACTTTACTGTAATATACAGTAGCTATATTCATACTCCAGCTGCAAAGATATCTTCACAGTAAAAATTGCCGGATTGCCCAACAAACAAAAAAACACTTTTTTCCCCACATATGGCTCAGTTAATGTCAAGACTCCAATAGAATGTTTTTGTTAAAACTGGATTTGCTCAACATCACTTCGTCCACAAATATATAAGCATTTAAAAGCCAATTCTCAATACATATTTGAAATTCCATGGGTTAGAACTGGTAAGTTAGCAGACTAAGGTCCCATTTACACTTGAGGCTGGAGTCATTTTTCCAGCAATCATCTCAGTGTTTCCACGACTACTCTTTTCCACCCAAGAACCAGGATCAAAGTACTGACTTGCATATGTGCTGGCAAATAATAGGATCCAAATCAAACTGTATATACTAGCCAGAATTTAAAGGTGGGCATATTGCAAAGCTAAACATATTTAAGGAGGCAAATATTACTCTAATTTATCTTTGTTTAGTTATAATATGCATTTTAAATTCTGACTAACTGTAATTTCACATTATATGCAAAACAAACTAAACTAAAGATGGTAATTAATTTTACAATAGGATCATTTAATCCTGTTCACAGTTTTACTGTTATTCCCCAGTCTGCTTGTTTACCCATTTAGGGAAATTACCATTTGTTATTAACCTCCCGAAATCCCAAAGTTCTGTCAGAAACCAGTAATACGTGGTCTGCCCATGGTATTAGAAACATGACATTATTCCTGTTATAACTTTCATTATTTTAAAATTATTAAGACATTTATTCACCCTGAGGACCACAGGAAGCATCTAAAATGAGCAGGTTGATCTGTGCTCTGCATTTTAGCAATATGCTTTTTCCCAATGGTTTAAGTTTTCTTTTTGTTCCAGCCCCCCAATAAAGTGGCTTTAATTTTAGGTTTAGATCTGGAAGAGTTTTTGACATTATGCTGGTCACTTATGCGACTTTTAGGTACTGATGATAGAAAAGACCAAAAAGACTTGTGGTAAACAGGCAAGCTGCAATCCACCAAGCAAGGAAGGAGAGTAGGCCTCGGAAGAGAAGAGGAGTAAAAACGTTCCGCAGGCCACCCAGAGCCATTGTTATCTGTGCAACAGTCAGCTTCTTGCTTTCGTTAATAGTAGGGGGAGCTGAGGTGATCAGGTTGGTTGCTGCAATCGTCTCCGTAGGAGATACATCAGAAGAATTTGAGAGCACAGCCCAGGACTGGTCACCTATTGTAAGAAACACACATAAAAGAACACCTTTTTAAAATTAATTGATATAAAATGTTAACTTTTTTAAAAAAAGAACTAAAATCCATACTAGATCTATTAAACTACTGACTTTCAAGTTTTAAACAATGAAGGGAAAAGAAAACGGCCATTTATAATATTATCCTGGTCAATCCATGGCTATGATGCCGTTTTTATAAATCTTTTTTGGTTAGTTGGATATCTGACACATACAAAAACCCACCACTATGTTTAGAATATCCAAAATAGGCGGAGATCTTCATATGTAAGCCATTGCGCATGAACATTTCTGTGCGTCTGCAATGGAATGCGTACTTTCTTCCAAGAGAGACACTCCTAATTTGTCTAATCCAGTGAGTACTTGGTGCAGTTTGGCAAGAGTCAAGGCTTGGGGACTCCAATGTGTGGGTTGGAATACTTAAGAGTTTAGGAACAGATGACCAGCTAAAAACACATAGCTTGCCAACGAGAGCACTGTCTAAATCATTTCTCACTGCTTGTCTAGCTAGGACCACCTATCCATTAGACTTTAGGCTTGCAAGGTTAACAGGAGCTGAGTGGAAAGAATCCACAGAATAGCCAAGGCCAAGAGTTAATTGAGGGACAACAGCATTGGTGTAAACATACCAAGCTGTGGATATGGAACAATTACATACCTGTTGGTTTTTCCTGTTATCAACTAGTATGGTTTTAAACATTAATCGTGTTACTGGAATTTTTTTTGTAATTCATCAAATTGTACAATTTTTGAAGGACAGCAACACTGCGTCCTGGCTCAGTTGGTAGCACTATTGCCTCTGAGTCAGAGGGTTGTCGGTTCAAGACCCACATTGGGCCTTGGAACTAATATAGTATAAGATGACACTTCAATGGAGTGCTGAGGGTGCTGAATTGTCAGAGGTGCCAAGCTTTGGATGAGACATTAAACCAATATCTCGTTTGCCTGTCCAGGTGGACGTGAAAGACCCCATGGCACTATTAAAAAGAAGATAGTTGCACACACAAAATACAGTCACACTGCTTTACAGTATATCCTGCAAGACGTCTCAACGACATATGGTGCTTTATCAGATCACAGATTTATACAGCACATAAGGAGGCCATTCTGTCTGTGTCGGCTCTTTGAAAAGACCTATCCAAATCAGTCTCATTCCCCCCCTCTCTCCCCATAGCCCTGCAAACTTGTTCTCCCCAAATAATTATCTACTTCTCTCTTAAAAGTTGTTACAAAATCGGCTTCAACTGCCCTTTCAGGCAATGCATTTCAGATCCGAACAACTTACTGTGTGAAAAAATTTCTCCTCACCTCCCCTTTGTTTCTTTTAACATCTATTTTAAATTGGTGCCCTCGGGTTACCAACCCTTGCGCCAGTGGAAACAGTTTCTCCTTATTCACTCTATCAAATCCCCTGATAATTTTGAAAACTTCTACTAAGTCTTCTCTTAAACGTTCTCTATTCCAAGGAGAATAATCCTAGCTTCTCTAGCCTCGCCTGATAACTGAAGTAGATGCAAGAAATATTATTAGAGACTATAAAGTCAAGCTCAGGCAATTAATTCACCAACAAAATACAGTCAATTCACTTTACAGTATATTCTGTGAAGCGCATTGAGACATCTCAAAGACATGATAAGGGACTAAATCAAACGCAAGGATTATTATTATTGTTTGTTAAACAGCATCGAAAGTTATTGCGAGTCCCAGCAAAACTGACAAGTCACCAGCCAACAGAGGGCACTCTTATATGCTAAGAGCAATGAGAATATTTTGCCCAAATTTTCCAATTTACCACAAAGAATAAATTAATTACTGTATTAATGAGTGTTTAAAACATAGTAAAATCACAAAAAGGCACAGCGACAATTTGTCTGCGAAGCCACGATAGCTTTACGTCACCATTGGTATCTCTGAATAAATGTACAAATCATAGAATATTACAGCACAGAAGGTGACCAATTGACCCACCGTGCCTGTGCGGGTTCTTTGGAAGAGCTACCCAATCAGTCCCACTCCCCCGCTCTTTCCCCATATCCTTGCAATTTTGCCATTTCAAGTACCCATCCAATTCCCTTTTGAAGGTGTTATTGAATCTGTTTCCACCATCCTTTCAGGCAGTGCATTCCAGTAACAACTCTGTGTAAAATAATTTTGCCAATTATCTTAAATCTAGGTCTCCTGGTTACTGACCGAACCTGCCAGTGAAAACAGTTTATCCCCATCTACTCTATCAAAACCCATCATAATTTTGAACACCTCTTTTAAATCTCCCCTTAACCTTCTCTGCTGTGAGGAGAACAATTCCAACTTCTCTCGTCTCTCCACATAACAAAAGTCCCTCATCACTGGACCCTTATTACTGGGACCATTCTGGTAAATCTCCTCTGCACCCTCTCCAGGGCCTTGATATTCTTCCTAAAGTGTGGTGCCTAGAATTGGACACAATACACAATACTCTAGCTGAGACCTAGCCAGTAACTTATAAAGGTTTAGGAAAATTTCCTTGCTTTTGTACTCTATGCCTCTTTTTTAAAGTCAGGGATCCCATATGCTTTCCAACAGCTCTATCAGCTTGTCCTGCCACCCTGTGTATCCAAGGATTATTATAAGCAACAGGTAGGAAGGTCTATGTGTGCCAATTTTATTATTTCCATCAATGGTTGAGTTAGCTATCAAGCTTCTAGTCATCATAAGAATATTAAAGCGCCAAAACCAGCTATGGACAACCAAGTTTCATTACCCCGCGCATTCATACTTACCCAGAGTTTTCAAAAGCAGCGTTGTATGCAGAAGCATTATGACAGGTGCCACATACTGAACTGCAATCACACAAAGATAATAGAAAACTCGAGCAACCTGCAGGCGGGGGGAAAACAATAAAAGTTACTTGATGTGCCTTTTTAATTAAAAACAAAGTTTAAGACTTTCTAAAGAATATCTAACAAAACTGGGTAAGTTAAACATATTGTTATTCACATATTTAATTTCCTACTCTTCCCACTAATCAGTATATATTAAAATATTATCCACTTCCATTTGCTTATTTTAAATGCTTGTACAACACGAATATGTGTTAAATTTACCTCTCATTATTGGAAATTGTTACAGAACTAAAATTGAATTTGAAAATACTGAAAACATGGTCATTTTCCCAATGTCCTCCCACCATTAGGTTTGCTGACTGACTGCAACTGAAGTTGGGATATTCTCAAAGCACTTTATTGTCAAGATGTTTTTTGGTAAGTAAGAGACAGCTACTCTGCACAACCAGGCTATTAACTAGCCTCCTTGACATAATGAAAAATACTATTTTCTTTTTGATCATTTAATGCCCAGGCAGTTCAAAAGTTTTATTCAAAAAATTGAACCTCTGAGAATACAGCGCTCCCCAGTACTCCTCTGGAATATGAGTTCCATACCTGAAGCAGAACTTGTACCACAATCTTGACCCAGAGGCAAAAATTATTGTAAATGAACCAAACATAACTGATACCCGAGCTAAACAATACTTATGCAGTACTAATATGTCCACTTCCTCCCCATCTCAAATGTCTCAAAATCATTATCCTCTATCTATCCCCAGTAATGGTATGAACATGCTTTATTTTATTCTCACATCTCATTGGTTTACACAATTTCTGGCTTTCCCCCTCATCTTAATATTCTGCAGTCACCAGCACTACATTTCCTTTCTTACTCTCTTACCATTTTTTGCAGATCTTTGGTACTGATTCGTCCTGCCTCCTTCTTCATCTGTTCCACACACTTCTGTGCTAAATTCAAGTACGCTTGTAAATGTTGACGAATTAAGGCCAGCCGGAGAACACAGAGCAGGATGATAATCCACAATCGCAATGTGTCATACGTAGCCTCGGTCATTCTGTGGATCATTTAGTAATCCATGTTTTTATTGGATTCTTTTTAATTAAAAAAAATCACAACCTTTCAACTCAACTGTCACTCAAATCAGACTGCTGCTAAAATGATCTTTGAAATTTAGAGTATCCTATTATCTCTGCTTATACTTATTGCTATATCTTAATCACATTCTTAACCTAATATTCACCCAGCTCCTACAAAGAAGTTAATTGATACAGAATTAACTGATTTTGCTGACTGTATTAAAATAAATGTACAAGCTTGTGAGAGGGGAACAAGTCTTCCCATTTTTAGTCCGCCTTACAATTTGCCACGTGTTGAATTTAGTTTTTCTTCATTTACTCTAGATGCAATTCCAATTGTTTCAAACATGTGAATCTTATCCTGTTCTAGTGTGGTTTTCTCTACAAAGATGTTACATTTTTTGAATCTCTCTTCACAACTACTGTATCAGAATCACCAGAGTTGATTCTTTGAACTCTCTTCAAGGTACAGTAGAACTTCACTAATCCGGTCACACAAGTGACTAGGCAAAAGTGACCTACTTAGTGAGGTGACCTGTTTACTGAAACAGATCAGGTGATTCAGGTCACTGATGTAATGTTAAGGGCATTGGTAATGGGCGAAGGTGATGAACATTCAACAACCATAGTTTGCAATCTCATTAAAATAAAGGCATTGTCACGCTTAAAACAAAAGCTGTCATATATTCAGCCTTCCTTTTGAGAATTCAGCCTTCCTTTTGAAGATAACTTGTGTTCTGCCAATGCCATAGCTCACAGCTAACTGTCTATGACTTTTGCCCTTACTGTGTTTGATTAAGTCCACGATCTCATGTAATGACAACTCTTTCCATGTGGCACTTTTACAGCACTTACCAAGAATTGGCCGCAGGAGCTCAGGTTAGGCTGCAGGCGCCGGGCGAAGTCAACTTGCCACTCGCGCTGCTTCCGCTATCCCAACACTCCCTGCGCTGCACATGCCCAACCCGGAGCTCACTCTGCCCACAGCAGCAGCGTCGAGGAAACAGGGCAAGAAGCCCGAGGCCTAGCGCACTGTGTACTGTACAGGTTAGTAGTGGAGGGGGGTGTTTGTACCGCGTTTGAAGCGGAGGATGGTGCTGTAGCGGCCGCAGTCAATGACCATTGTCCTGAATAGTGAGGTGCCCGGTTTACTGAAGCCGACAGCCTATCTTTTAACATTGACAATGAAAGAGACTGAAAATGTGCCCACAATTGTGAGGTGTCTGGATTACTGAGGTGACCGCAAACCGGGTTTCTACTGTACTTTTTTTTTGGTTAGCCAGGTATCTTAACACTTGTGAAAATTATTACTGTGCTTAAGAGTAAGCAAACCAGACACAGTTCACGTATGTATGCCACCTATTTATGGAAGTTTCCGTGCAGCTGGAAATGGAATGTATATTCTCTCCACAGAGATAGGCACCCTATTTGTCTGATTCTGGAAAATATTAATAACATTCTTGCATTTGATGTAGTACCATTCACATCAGGACATCTCAAAGTCCTTCCCAGGATGTACTTGTATTTGATACGTAAATGTATTACCTGCAGGTTGACGAAAACCAATAATTAAGGACCCCAGAGTGTACATTGGGAATACAGCTGGAGCATATCCAGCTAAAACCACTTAGCTTGTAATTGTGAGCTGGTTTAGCAAGCTTATTACTTCTTGTCCAGCTAATACCACTTATCCATTAGAGCTTTAGCTTGCATGATTAACAGGAGCTGAAGGGAAGAATCCCTACCTCAAATTGCCCCTCCAAATCTTGCCAATTCGCTAGGCTGCCTAGTCTGTCATCAGCAGTGCCTTAGAGTACCTCAGACAGGCCTGGCTTAGTAATGAAACTACCAAGTCTGCCAGATGTACATTATCTTGGAACCAACTCAGCCCCAAAGAGAACCTGCTTACTTTCTCCCTACTTCCAAAAGTTCATCCTGTTGATAACTACCTCATATGGAGGGGAAATATTTGGCAACACAAAACCTTTCATCACTTGCATCTTTTTGAACAGACACCCACATTGTGCACATATTGCATTTTTTGTATCAATATACATTAACTTAATACATCTCCAAATTAAATTCAACTCCCACTGCTTAATTGATCCACTTAAACTTGTCCCGATTCTTTTTGATGCAAACAATCTATTTTGCCCTACACATAGCTTGATGTCATTCGGCAAATTTTAGAATTGATAGCACAACTGAAGTACTCTCTTCCATATCATTTCTGAACAGTGTAAAAGGCAAAGTACTTAAAACTAACTCCCATGGTACAATATTAGTCTCTGCCACCTCTTCTTGACAGAGCTAGATCATCTGCATCCACTTTCTAATCCACAATTTTGCTAATTTACCATCAATCCCATGGGCCTTAATTTTGTTTGATAGGCTCACAGGAATACTTTTATCAAATGCCATCTGAACATTCAAGTGCAGGCCTGAGGGTGCTGGTGTTCACATTTTGACTGATGCAGGTTTCTTTTACTTTCTGTAGTTAACAATTATATCAGACAGATAATCCCCATAGCTATTAATTTAGTTTGCTCCTCTAAAGCTTGTGGAACTTCAAGGTATGAAAATGGTGCCTATTCCTTATGGTCTGTGCTGTTTTATGAAATATTGATAATGTCCTACAATTTTCCCACTCTTGATATTAAACTAGTGATCAATAATTATCCAATCCATAATTCACTTCTCCAGCATTTAGGTATCATCTCTGCATTTATGAAACTAATAATACCACAGCCTCATCTATTTCTGCACTCACTTCCCTGTTGATATTGTCATGCATGCTATTAGGATCAGGTGCTGTATAAATATGCAATGCTCTGAACTTATTCACCTTCATACATTACTGAGTCTAAGCACAAACTGATTGAGTTATAAATCTGTGCATAATCTTTCTTTCTGAAGACTGGTGTAAAAAAAATTGGCTTATCTGCCATTTCCTACCTTCCACAAAATATCATCCTTATTTATTTCTTAGTGGAATTACAAGGTCTTTACATTGGCAATATCATGCCATGCATTGGTTAAAAAGTATTTTGAATGTTTACCTTAAGAATATAATGAAAATAACTTTGCATGCTGAATAAATATACTTGGTTTAATTTAAATATAAAGCAATAGGTTAAAATACATCAACATAAAATGTTCTTGAAACAGTACAGGTCAGTATTTCCTGTTGTGTAAATTCTAACTTGCACAGTTGACTGAGATTGGATTGGTTGCCTCTATACTTAAGTGGAAGAATATTAAATGAATTTATACTATGGATGCAAATATGCAGGTAAAATTCCAACATAACCAGTGTGCAGTTACCCATGCTGATAGCCTTAAGTCATTACTCACACATCTGAATACCAAATCCTGGCTAAACTACAGATTGGGAGATTTGGATCAAAGGGCCTTAAATCCTGAATGTCAAAACTCCTGTGGTTTTCTGTTAGGAAGAAAAACAATCGGAGAATCTGGATTGGTAATTAATACTGCCCTACAACTCCCATCCCAATTAACCACACCAAGGTACAGGAGAAACTACAGTACGATCCCACGTTAATTTGAAATGCAGGTAAATTCAATATTGTACAAGCAGGTTCCTCGAAAACAGATCAAATAGACATACTCACAAATGAATATTTTCTTTGCCAAATGGTGGATGCATGATATAGTCCTTTGTAATAGGTTTCACCCACAGCAATACCATAATTAGTGGTGACAGGAAGTTTATGTGAAGGAGAGTCCTAAACACCAGGAAGGCCAAAAGAAAACACATTATTAACCCAACATCACACTACAGTACTCATGGCAATTTGATTTCTAAATATAGTTTTATGGAAGGGTATGTTTGTATTGCTTCTTAACTGTATCTGTTACATATGTATCTTTAATTTAAAGATACCAGTAACCTGTTAAGCGTATACAAAAAATACCATTAAGGTATTACTATTCTGAAACAAAGGCGGTGGGGAGAGGGAATGCAACTTGGGTGATATAACTATCACTGGTGACAATTGTCACATGCTCAGAACATGCTGTTAAAACACATCAACAACTTGTACCTCTATAGCTTCTTTCACAAAAGACAATGTGTTAAAGTGCTTTACAAAGGAATTAAGGATCACCAAGTAGGGAGGTAAGGAGGAAGGGTCAGATGTTTGAGGATATTAATCAAAGGCAAATAAACATTGCTCTTGACCGAGGGAGCGGCATTTCAATACTGCTTCATAAATACCAACAATTAAGAAGTGACAAGGGATTTCTTTTTTTAAAAAAAAGCAGGGAGCTGGAACCCATTGGGCTGTGTGATGCATTATTAAACAGTATTTCCTCCTCCCTCAAAAATCTTGCCCATTCTCCATCAATTTATTGCGCTTCAGTGACTTCAGCTATGTATTATACTGGGATGTATTATGGAGTCTAAATCATTCAATTGTAGATTTCATTTTGCTTAGATTGTTAAAACAAAATCAACATGTCTACAGAAACAGATGGGATAACAGAACTGTATGCTTGTAGTATGTTTATCAGTGGACCAGCTCCATTTGTAAATATATGACAAGCATGCAGTTCTATTATTAGTCTTTCCAAAATAGTTACTTACTGTGTTAACTTCTCTTTTGTAAGATTCAGGGCATCCAGATGCATCTGAGCCAATCGCAGGCCAGGAAATGTCAGAAAAGCACCAGTGAGTGCGCAAAAAACAGCCAGAAACATTTTAAAAGTCAGTTTTGAGACAGGGCCTCTGGAACAAAAGAAATCAATACAAAATCATTCTTGTGGTCAGCAAAAGTAATGCTAATTTTTTAACATTAATATCAAAAAGAACATCCATATAAAAACTAATATGCTTACATGAAGATCTGCTGGTTATTCAAAGAAAAATGTTGAACTATTGGAGACTCATCTAAAATTTATTGCTATTAATAAGGTGGCTCAATGTACAATGACAGAATGAATCAAAACACACATTTGCATTCACAATTTTCCACACAAGGTACAAATTTCCTGTTTCAGCAAAGCCAATTTGAGGTTTGAACAGATTGGTTAATCTGAATTGCTCCTTGATATTTACTACCAATTGGATGAATTAAACTCTACTTAGGTTTGTCACAGTTTGTCTGCCTTCTTGTCCTCTTAGGAAGTCTCTATGTTATTCAGAAAGGTACCTTGAAAGGGAGTCATAGCATGAAATGGATAACCTACTTCTAGATCAAATGCAAAGATAATTATTATTACTACTTAACCCAATACCTCAAATTCCACTCTGTCTAAACATTTACAATAGGAAATGTATTATGTGGCATTAAGTAGTTTGAAATATTTATATGGTATAAAACACCACAAATACATTAGATGATAATAAATATACATTTTTCATCCAAAAAACACACTAAGAGTCGATTATTTTATAACTTGTATTTTTTCTCTAGAACTGGAGCAAAAGATTGGTCATTATACTGTACCTGTATTTTAACAGTTAGTAAAATGTAATAGTTAATAAACTTACTTGGATTCCAGGCCTTGTTTTTCAAGAAATTGCAAAGCACTATCAGAAAAGTTTGCAAACCCTAAATATTGGAGGGTAAAAGGAAGACAAAATGATATGCAAGTTAACTGACAGCATTATCAGTAGCTCAGACATATCCACAGCACAATATAGATACGCACGTTGTCTGTAAGCACACTAAAAGGTGACAAAGGGCTAAATTGAGAAATGCCTTTCTTTTAAACAATCTTTTTTTNAAAACTCTGTTTAAATGTCAGCAAAAATTTCGCAAAATCTGATATCAATCGAATTCTAAAAACATAAAGTGTAGAATTCAACTTTTTATCACTATTTATCTTTATTAACATCACACAGAGGATACAGTTCAAGATGCTGGTCCTCACCTTCAAAGCCCTCCATGGTCTTGCTCCCCCCTACCTCTCCGACTTCCTAACCCCCTACCACCCTGTTTGTTCCCTCCGCTCAGCGGGCTCCGGCCTGCTTCACGTCCCCCACCTTGTTCGCCCCACTATCGGCAGGCGGGCCTTCCGTCACTCTGCACTCACCCTCTGGAACTTCATCCCGCAATCCCTCCGTCTCACCCCCTCCGTCGCCACCTTCAAGACCCACTTCAAAACCCTCCTCTTCAACTGTACTTTCAATCTCCCTGCTTCTCCCCCTGCCCTCCCCACACCCCCACCCCGACCCTCAGCTCGGGTCCGTAACTCTGTCTGTCCAGCGCCTTGGGACATCCTCCTGACGTGAAAGACGCTATACAAATGTAAATTTGTTGTTGTTGTTTATTGGACCTACATCAATAGCTGCATTTATTAGTTTGGTGAAATATGCTATGGCTGCCAGTGGTATATAAATCTGTTGATGGGTGTGTCCAAGCAGTTCATCGAATTCAGAATTTCAGATAAAACACAACAAACCTTAGAAGTACATTGAAACTTATCAAAAAGAAATTCTAAAGTCAGATGATCTGTCTACAGTGGCAAATGACCACGCGATAAATTCAAAGAAAACAAACGGGAAAATATACTGCACTTTTAATCTTCATTAGTTTTCTTTTTTTTTAAAAAACTGTTCTTAAACACATATTTGTAATTGACATTTCTTCTCTCTCCCCTACCAACTTGGAAATATTTCATTCAAACAGTGAGCAGCTCCAAAAGGATTCCTGTGGAAGACCATATATGCCAACGGCCAACAATGCATGCCATTCCACCCATTTAGTACACCTTCTTAGAATCATAGAAACTTACAGCGCAGAAAGGCTATTTGGACCATTTGGATCGAGTTTTCACTGACTTTCAGCGCAAGTTGTTCATTCAATTCCATTGATCTGCCTTATCCCCGTATACCTTCGAGCCTCTATCCTTCTTTTACCATCCACCTAATGAGGGCTCAAACCCACACTTGTCAGATATCGAACTAGTGACTCGGTGGGGGAGCGTTAGTGAGGTCTCCTTGGAGCTGAACTGTCTCCAAGGTGACATGCCTGGCAATGGAATGTCGGAATCGAGCCCTCTGTGGCAGTCTCAGTAGTCTGGTTCCTGAGCCAAGTGATTCCGCAGTATTCCAGGGCCTTGCTGATGACAGCACAGTCAGCCTGGCTCATCAGCGGGGACCTGGAAGGGCAGACCAGTCATTGAAGGCAGGGAGTCATCCCACTTAGCTCCTGTTAACCCTGCAAGCCCTAATGGGGAGGGTGGTCCTAGCTGTCCTTTGCTGCACCAGCTGAGTAACGTTACCAAATACTTTCTAACTCAGGCATTTATTTTTGAAGCACTGTGTGTAAACCACATTGACAACTCAGGATGGACCAAAATGAAGTGAAAATATAGCAAATCACTAAACAAAGGGCAGCATAAGCATGCTGATAGCAAACCACAAAGCTAAAAATGAATTTAGTTAAATCAATGAATAAAATAACAATTTAATATTACTTATTGTTGTATATATGGCACTGTTCATGTGAAGTTACAAAGCTGAGGCAGGTAATTTTAATGGGTAATTATGCAATGGTTGGATATGAAATATTCCACACAGAGTGGTCATGAAGTCAGAGTTAAGGTAAAACTGTCTATGGTGTAGAGATGAAAAACAATGCAGAATTAAATACCTGTCTCCAGGCCAAATTCCAGGTAATTTTCGGTTATAATCAGGATTACCATGGCTTTTACAAAGAAGAAGAAGCCAAAAGTGATGCAGAGGGACCTCTCCCCACCTTCCTCCACTTTAAAGTAGTGAGTAGTCAAAGAGAACAATACCTTACTAAACAAACATGTCTTAAGGAAAACAAATTAAAGAAATGCAGTATCACACAGTTAAGTCTGTAAATGCTAAATATAACAATTTGAATGCAGCTACAAAATCTTGCTTAATAAAAATAAAATGTCTGGGACAGTTCATATTGGAAGCAAAAGTTTGCTTGAATGAGGCAATTGCTGGAAAACACATTTTGTAATGTAAACTGTGCTTTCTTTAAGAAACCCTTATACCTCCCACTCATGAGACCTCAGCCCCCACACTTCAGAATCAAGTCTTGTGAGTTACTGTGATGTTACAGGAAGAGTCACAAACTCAAATGGTATGTGGGTTTGTGTATGTATCTATCTGTGAACTGGAGGTTGTAATAAGAAATGAGTCAAGCATTCGTTGATCCATGCACTAGATAATTAGTATACACTGTCAATACTAATTGTTATCTGTGCTCCAGCCTTTCTAAACAAAATTAGATTGTTCTCTTCGTTTAATCCAAGTTCATGTAATGCCCCTCGATGTATTGATAAAAGTAGTTGGTTTGGTTTGCCTCTGTCCTGTATGAGAATTTCCTACTTCTACAAAGTGCTTTAATGATTAAATATTTATATTAGCTCGATTACCAGTTGGAATAAATGTGAATCTGTTAATTAGTTTCAATGTTATTGTATTAAAAAATACCCTCTTTGGAGCTCCTCGAGTGCAACAAATAACACAAAAACAATGAAAACCTAACTCCTTGAGCACACAATTCAGTTTCCTGTGGAACATGGTCTGTGGGAAAGCCTGGGATGTTGAACTCCAGCTTGGAACAGCAGGAGCTGTTTATTACCATCTAAGAAAACAAGGTGACTTGTTCAAGTTAGAACTACTATACATTATACTATATATATTTACCCAGAAGACTGAATGCTCACTAATCATATTCAAGACTGAGATCGATAGATTTTTAAAAACTAAAGGGATTAAGAGATATGGGGATAGGGCAGGTAAATGGAATTAGGTTAGAAGATCAGCCATGATTTTATTGAATGGCAGGGCAGGCTTGAGGGGCCAAATGGCCTACTCCTGCTCCTATTTCTTATGTTCTTATGTATAGTTGTTAGTTTTATGTTTTGTTTGTCATATCCACATTTTTGCCTGCAAAATTAAGATCTGCTATGAACCACTATTTGTCTGCTGATTTCTGGGTTCTTACGAAGACTAACCAAGCATATCCTGGTTCCCAAAAGAGACAAATTCTCAATATTCAGACTTCATTTGCAGGGAAGTAGATGTAAGTAGGAGGCTTGTGAGTCAAGCATAACTAGCAGGCTACGTCAGTGCATCAGTCTACATCGGACTAAGAGATGAGATCATAACAAGGGGATTCCCTGGTGAACAGTTTTGTGGTGCCTTTCCAGTGATTAAAGCATATATTCAACTCCAGTGTAAGAAATTCACTTTGAATTTTTAAACAGTGTTTTATTTTCAAAACGCCAATGGAACAAAAAACACAGAATCAATGCACAATATCTTATGAAACCCCATAGCATTTCATTCGTATTAAATTCTTGGAATCAAATTCAACAATAGAATCTTTGCTTTTTGGAGTGCAAAAAACCCCACAAAAATTACTGAATGCCATTTCTTCTGCACAACATATTCCACATCAAGAAACTGGTACTTCATTGATTGTAGCCTCCAACCCCATTTATTATCAATGCCATTCTGATTTTCTGGATTATAAAATAAATACTCAATCTCTACAGATTGCAACTACAGTATATTGAAAGGTTTAATTCATGCGGTTTAAACATTTGCCTGTTGCCATGAGATATATGTTGATAACCAATATATTCGAGCCAATAAGGAATTCAAATGTGCCATTAGCATTGGATCAATGTAATATTTATTTTTCAAGCTGGGATAGGTTTTTCACTCTGGAGCGTACCGTTCGCTGTTAACTAAGGCATAACTTGCTATGAAATTCTATGCCAAAGTGGCTGAAATAGTGATTGAAAAGAATTAACCCTCAGATTGCTGGAAGCTCCAGATTAATTCCAAGTAACTGAGAGTAATACATTTCTTTCACAAGAGGTTTAATTTCATACACCTTTGAAACCAATAAAGTTACATAAATATCAGAAAAAACTATTGTATTCTAAATCAAAATTTAGGAAAAAACACTATTCTTTCCATCTGCTTCCAGTCTTCCATTTTTCTCTCTTTTTAAAAAAAAGCTTATTTATCTTCTATGACTTATTGTATTTAATGCCTTTTTTAATCGCCTTTAATAATAATAATAATCCTTGTATTTGACGTAGCGCTTTTCACGTCTTCTAGCACTTCACAGAATATGCTGTAAAGTAAATTGACCGTATATTTGTGAAAGAAAATGTTAGCCCATTTGGTTCTTTTCCCAACTTTCTACTCTCTATTTTGGAGCTGAGAGGCTGGATTGATTAATGGCTTTTCAGCTGGGTGGAAGTAATAAATATGATTTACATGTTTCACTCACAAATGTGGTCCAGATCAACTTCTGATGCAATGTTCTCGGACAGAACTAAGATCTCTGCTGCAGGACAAGTGATTCTAGTTAGGAATCAACAGTTTCACCCTTCTACGCAAAACACCGAATCAGTATTCAACTGGAAAGTCAGTTTGAATCATTCATAACAACTTAAGAAAGGTGAAACGCTTCCATAAATGGAAAATGTCCAATATTTACTATGTACTAATGCTAAAAGAATAATGTTATCTTACTTTGCAGAATCTTTTTTTTTAGAAATGCTCTCTACCAAGTATTGTAAACATTGTTCAATTCAAGTGGAAAGAATCCTACTGCAACATTGAATCTGGGGAGGAAGATTCCCCTTGTGAGAGTTGTCTGAGGAAGATTACATCACCAAAGACAGATTGCTTGTCTACTGCCTTCAGATTTAGCTCATAAACAAGCACTTTTACAAAAAACAAATACATGGAATAATGACTCTGATGGAGAGAGTTATAAGAGGGTAATTAAATCAAGGGAGTGCTAATAACATCTTAAACCACACAAGAACACAGATTGAAACTTTAATTAGAACCCACATCTCTGTCCATAACAGGATAAAATAGGTCACTGTTCTGTAAGAATGTCACAGATTCATGCAATTCAAGGGAGCAATATATGAGAATAAGTTATAGCCTGGAACATATTCCCTCAAACGTCTATTAGATATTCAGTTTCCCCAAATTTAATCCCCAACAGCACAGCACCCACATGTAACCATTAATAAAAAGGTGAAATTGCAAAATGTAGATATACTTTCTTGCCTATCTGGACAATGTCCAGATGTACAAATTATACAAAATGCAATTTAACCAATTTAACTTTCAGACACTTAATGGTAATGAAAACTCATTTAATTTTACAACAGTCTCATTGCAGATCTTTTCCATTTCTATGGACTCTACGCATTTAGAATGGTAACATGTCATTTTACTGAAATATTTGATTTTAAAAATCTTCTTGTTTAAAAATCTAGACCTTTGTAACAATATTCCAGATGGATGTTGTATAATGGGTCTAAAATACTTTTTTTTAGGATTGCTTAATAACTCTATGATCATAAAGGGGGCGAACCCCTTCTGTAATCAGACATATGTCATACTGTATAGCAGAAATGACTCTACAAGTAGATCACATCAGAGCAGCTTACCCATTTGCAAGACCTTATTAAAGAATTCTGTTTGAAATTGTTGTTATTAGATTCCACAATATTATCCTATTCAGAAAGGATAAGGATCAGAATTGGACAAACTGAACAGACTGTTGGACCACTGAGACTGATAACTTATCTCCAATTCACCTTTTTTATAGGTCTTCTGGTTCACCTTTGTACTTCTTCTTGTTGGATATGAAGGAAGGGAATGGGCACACTCATAGAATGTAATATGGAACACGATTGTTGAATATTGAATAAAGAAAGAGACTGAAGGCCTCAATGATCAGTCAAGGATCACAAATCTAAAGTACCCCAAAAAGAGCTAAAAGAAACATACAGAGAAGAAAAGATGACCAAGTAGTAGGCACTGGAAATGAAACCATAGTTTTGCTAAATTAGAACTTGCACCTTTATAGAGCTCCTTCAACTGCCACCCAGCTGGACTCAGCAAACTGTGTTGAATCCTGTTCTCTTTGCAATACTATGTGCCCCTAAAAATGTAGTTAACTAAGACTTTCAGTAAATTACTGGTACTAAAAACCAATTTCCTTTGAAAGCATGCTTTTATTGCAATTCAAGTAACTATCTTCAGGCAGTAAACCAATCAAACATAAAATGGAGCAGAGGAAGAGAAGTTCAGTCGTATATATTTAGTCATTGTTCCAAATCCACAATTGGTTTGTGATTATATTGTGCTCTAAAAAGTGCCGCATTTATGCTCGCATAATTGACATAAGCTGAGCCACCACTGACTTGAGCTATGAACAAGGAACAGTATTGTTCTAACTTTACAAGCTCCAATAAATGTGTTTACTGCAATGTGGAACAACCCCAACCATTTGGTTATGTTGTTAAAAAAATCTTGATCATTAAAAACTCATGACTATACTACTCAAACGTAAGCAACGTCATTAAAAGAACATAGTCAAGTACAGACTAATTAATCAACACTGACAGTACTGCAGGATAAGAATGTTAAACGGGAATTTTTTGACATTGTAAGGAAATCAAAGCTAGTTGCTAAACCAGGAAAATAAACCATTATAAAGTTGGATCTAGTTAACTACAGTTGGAACCTGTTATAAGAATGTTATAGCACTGTGTACTGACAGCATACACTTGCTGCAGATAGGTACACTGCCAGTTTATAGCACGGATTTGTTGGCTTTCTGTGCATAGCACATAAAATACAGAAAACTCCCAGTGTCTCGCCTTGTCCCAGCAATTGCTGTAGATGCTCAAGAGAGCAATTGCCAGTTTCCTGCATGCAGCAAGTGATGCCAGCAGCGTTGAGCCAGAAGCACTAACAGGTGGCCAATATTATAGCATGCCCTGTTATAATGCTGGGCCTGGTCCACCATGTCATGACCAAATTCGACTATAATAATCCTTACATTTGATATGCTGCTTTATTACATTGTCAAAATGTCTCAAATATTTCAAAGGATTTACTCTACGATGCAGCGACTACTTTGTAGGCAAACTTTCCCATTTCAAATTCCTGCCCACACAGCAATGTCCCACAAACAGACATGAAGTAAATGACCAATTTTATTTAGGGAACTGTTGGTCAGGGCATCGGGAGAAACTACCTTCTCTTTTCATCTAGTGTCATGAGATCTTTAACGTCAACAACAACTTGCATTTATATAGTTCCCTTCAAGCAAGGTTCCGGAATGCTTGATCTAATTTGCCAGAGAAGGCCTTGATTTAAAGTCTTATCCAAAGGACAGTACCTCCAACAATTCCGTGCATTTGGAGTGTCAGTCTAAATACAAGCTTAAAGTCCCGAACTGGAGCTTGGATCCACAACCTTCTAACTCAGAGGTGAGATTGAGCCAGTAGAAAGAAAACTCAGGCTTGAAGCATGAAATCTATAGAATCTCTCTGATGTAAAAACAATTTTGAGAAGTCAAGTTAACTGGACAATATAACTGCCTGTGAAACTTATAAAAACAGTACGCAGGTAATTTAGTTTTGCCATTAGGATATTGGTGTAATGGTTTGAAAAAAATAAAATGGCACTTCAAAAGCCTCTTGATTTATTTGAATATGTCTATGGAAGGCCTAATTTTCACAATAAACATTTTTATTAATAAGCCAGGTAAAAACAAGAGATTGTACTTGTAGAAGTTAACACTTCACAATTGTGTTAGGTTCGAAACTTAGGAAATAGATGTCAATTACTCATTCATAGTGTAACAAAATTAAGTTAACAATTTAATAATTTATATATTTGCTCCAACATTCTTTCCTCACCAGCATTGAAATACCGAAGATACTGAATATATCAAACCTTGCGGTCGCTTCTCAGCTGTGCAATACAGCTTTAACTGTGTGTCAGCCTGGTGCATTGGTTGCCCTCTCGTCGCTGAGTCAGAAGGTTTTGGGTTCAAGCATAACAAAGTCTAAGCTGACACTCCAATGCAGTGCTTCAGAGTGGTTGCATTGTCGGAGATGATGTCCTTCGGATGAGACGTTAAACCGAGGTCCCACCTGCTTGTTTAGGTGCATGTTTAAGATCCCATGATACTATTCGAAAAGAAAAAGGAATTTCTCCCGGTGTCCTAGCCTCAAATAAAATTGGTCACTAACTCCATGGCTATTTGTGAGACATTTCTGTGCGCAACTAGCTGCTTCATTTCATTTACAAAATACAATAAATCCACTTTACATCTCCTGTGATATGCTTTGGGACATCTCAACAACATAAGGTGCTATGTCAAATGTAAGGATTATTTTTATTAACAAAATACTTGAACATGCAAAACAACAACAAAATTACATTTATATAGCGCCTTTCACGTCGGGAGGATGTCCCAACAAATGAAGTGGTGATTAGGTACAAGAATTATGTGCAAAATGTTGCAGCTATAAAAGGATACAATACAAATGCAAGGACCAGCAGGCACCACACTATGCTAATGTTCATTTCGTTGTTGGGATTTACCAGGCTGTAGTAGACTTCTGTAATGATGTAAACAATTGTGGCTGAGGCAGTGAAATCAACCAACCACTGGTACTCAGCAAAGTAATGCAAAACTGTGAAAGAAAATTAATGTTTTAGTGAACTAATATTTTGAGACAGTAAAAATAAAACAACATTTATGCATATAGCACTCTTTATGCAAGACAATGTCTCCGAACACTGTGCAAAAACGGGGTCAGGTTTCGAGTAAAGGAGAGGGGGGAAGTAGCCAGAAGCATATTTGAAGAGGTTTTTGTTTAAGACAGGACTTAAACACAGATAGAGAGGGAATTCCAGAAGATAGAGGAGTTGAATTTGAAGGCTCAGCCACTGACGATGCAGAGGGCAGGTGATGCGTAGTAAGTCTGAGTAAGACCAATAGAAGGGGGGCAAGCAGGAGTGGGGCAGAAGAATATCAGAGATGAAGAGATGTTAGTCCATGAAGGGATTTATCGGTGAGCATGAGCACCTCAAAATCAATCCACAGGAAGACAGTGGAATTCGCGATGATTAGGGTGATGTCCGTGCGGAGTTCGGTGTGGATGTGGAAATGCATGGTAGAGTTTGGGATAAATTGGAGTTTATGGATGTTGGAGGTAAGGAGATCAACATGGAGTGCATTTGAGGTCTAATCGTGAGATAGCAAAGGTGTTAATAAGAGTTTCAGTAGCACTTGGTGCCAGACAGGGGTGGAGGCAGGTAATGTGGCAGAGATGAAGAAAAGATATCTTGATCAGGAAGGAAATAGAAGTTGAAGATCGAACCAGACACCAAGGTTGCGTACTGGTTTGGTGATTCACTCATTTGTTCACACGATATCTGGCATGAAAATAACCCATGAGTTACAATCCAAAATAAATTAAGTAGTTAAGTGCACTGGCATCTATAACACATTTTGGCTCAACCATTTATAAGACATATACAAGCAAAGGAATAAACATGTCCTGAGAGAATTACAACTGTCCATAATTTATGGATTTATAAATTGATAAATATGGATTTATTAAGTTTGCAACAAATAACCAATCCTTTTCAGAATTTTAGAAAACCAGCTTCGACATTAAGCCTGCATTTTCAAAATCTGCATGTTCTTAGGACAGTTTAGGACAAATGTTATCTTTTTTAGTTTAAAAACCATGAGATAAGAATTTCAAATTTCGAAAAATGTCAATGGAGTAATATTTGTATTGTACTGTATCTGCAGGAAAGGATTGAGAGAATTATTTTGAGCAACTTAAACCTCAACTATTATCTAACATTCAGTGGAATGTTGAGATATTCTCGCTGATATGTTCTCCTCAGTCCACAAATGCACCACCCAAGGAGACCAAACAAGTCCCCGGTTTGTTCTGTGGTGTGTGACAAGTTAACTGTTCTTAGCCAGTAGGAACACAACTGGACTCAATTTTCTTGAGCGACTGAGAAGTAGTAACAAAATTTTGCCAACATTCCTACTTTTCCTACTATCCAGTAATTTCTGCTGGAAGTAACAAGAATGCTTTATCCGGCAATTTAATTATACTCATTGTCTAGTCTAGATGGCTGCAGAGTGAAAGTCACTCTGAAAGTGACCTGAGAGTTTCAAAACAAAGATGAAAGTTCAGATGAGATCAACGTAACTTATGAAATATTACACGTCTGCCACAAATAGCAGTTTTTTTTGTGCCAATAATTCTGTGTGCCAAACTAAGATCAGGTGGTGTAATATATGTAAGAAGATAACAGCAGAAGCCTGGCCTTGTGCATGAAGCACAATACATGGTAGACACAAATCTAAATTTTGTTTAGATTGAGAAGTTTAGCAGAAAAAAAGAACAGACGACGTGTCAAATTTTTTTTGGTACGAGTTCAAAATCATATGACTTCAGAGGATATTACCTTGGTGAGTTGTTCCCACTCACTGATGGGTGACGAAATGAAAGTAGAAGACAACTGCTTTGGCCAGGAAAAGTGAAATACAAAAATACAAGTGATGCTTTTTACATATAAGATTTTAATGAATGTAAGGAAAAGATGCTTCTAAGGGTCATTAAATATTTTCATTTATAACAACACTGGATTGAAACATTATTCTTTTCTCAGTGTTATTTTGAAAGGAAAACTGTGACTGTGACACAGCCATTGTGTTCTTTTTAAAGAACTTTTCAATGCAACAGTGAAAAGTGCATCTTCATCCCTATCATACCTGTTGTATCCACCTCAGAAATAGTCTTTGCCTCTAAATGTAGATCAATATCCTTAGGAACAGTCAGTGGTTTGTTTTCTATGTGCCCATTGTGCTTCCTAGAAAAATACAAACATAAAGGGTGCAAATCAAGTAAACACTCATTACAAATACTACAGCAAACACACACAAACACAGACACAAAATACAATAATTTTAGGTGGAATGTCCTCACTATCGTATCCCTGACGATGATTAATTTCGACCACCATATTTAAGGATTTTAAACAAGCTTTGAATTTCTGCCTCTTACCTAATGTGAACAACTAAAAATTATTGAGAACCTGATTTCCACAGTTATCTAAAATACGAGATCATGCACTTTCTAGCAAGCTACTTTCTTTTCTTTGCTATACATTGTTAGATGTACATTTGTTCATTTGATGATTCTCTTGTTGAGTTCTCATTCTTAACCACATTGTTTGTAGCGAAATTCTGGAGGGAAGAAAATGCACAGAAACCCAAATATAGTGGAGGAAATAAATTAGTTGCAACTATAAATCCAAAGAGGAGGCGGTGTAAACTACTCCATATCCTGTTGGTAGTTTTTATTGCTTAAACCTTCAGCATACCTTTTGTCGAAACTGAGGAAAGGAAATTTGGTTGTCTGTTGGAAACTTAGCATTTGCCCTGCACCCCAACATTTCTGAGATTAAATCAAATATATGCTGTATTACAAAACAAGATTAAATTAAACATATTAACTGCATTTGTGGGACCAACTCTAGTTTTTCACATACCTAGTTTCATCTTCGGTACTCTTCTTGCATCTTGATATTCTTATTTTATTATAGTGAAGCTTTAAATTTTTTACATCTCACAAACTTGTATTATGTTTAGATCTGCAGCTAGACCAGCTTCATTCTTTGCACCAATCCATAACCTACAGTATTTAATTACTTCCAGTAGGACATTATACAGCAGCACTAACAAAGACTTGGGGACAGATCTCCTACCTGTTCTCTTGGTATGGGATGATGCAGGTAGATACAAGGGAGAGAAAGGAATTATGAGAAAAATAATCATGACTCATAAGTAGATGGATATATGGAATCATTGATACTTTCCCTCGAGGGCAAAGCATGCCACGTTCATCTGATAATTTAAATAATCTGATTAGGTATCTCACAACTTCCTTTTCAAACCAAGGTGCTTCTGTTCTTTTGATAACTTTTTGAAAACTTGGATTCGAGATTTAAATTTAATTTAAAATCAATGGTATCAAGTAAGTCATTAAATACAACAAACAACAAGATTCCATTTATACAGCGCCTTTCACATCGGGAGGACATCCCAAGGTGCTGGACAATTGGATCGGGACCCGAGCAGGGGGGAAATGGTGAGGGGAGGGAAGGGAGGGAGTGAAGAGGAGGTAGAGAGTCGAGAGGGGAGCTGAAGGCACGGTCGAAGAGAAAGGTCTTGAGACCGGCCTTGAAGGAGGAAAGGGAGGAGGCGGCGAAGGCACTGGGGGATGGAGTTCCAGAGCCTCGGGGCTGAGAGGCTGAAGGCCCGGCCACCGATGGTAGGGCGGTTGGGGCGGGGGATGTGGAGCAGACCGGAGCCAGAGGAATGGAGGGTACGGGCAGGTAAGTAGGGGGATAGTAGGTCGGAGAGAGGGAGCAAAGCTGTGAATGGCCTTGTAGGTGAGGATGAGGATCTTGAATTCGATCCTCTGGGGGATGGGGAGCCAGTGGAGGCGAGCGAGGGTGGGAGTGATGTGGTCGCGAAGCCTGGTGCGGGACAGTACACGAGCTGCAGAGTTCTGAATGACCTGCTGCTTGTGGAGGGAGGTGCCGGGAAGGCCGGCGAAGAGAGAGTTCCCATAGTCCAGCCTTGAGGTGATAAAGGCGTGGACCAGAGTTTCAGCAGCGTGAGGGGTGAGGTAGTGCCGTAGTCTGGCGATGTTTCGGAGGTGATGGAAGGTGGTGCCAGTTGTGGTGCGGATATTAGGAAGAAAGGACAGCTCAGGGTCGAACAGAATGCTGAGGTTCCTGACTGTCTTTGAGAGGTGGAGAGTGCAGCCTTGGATGCTGATGCTGTCAGCGTGAAGAGGAGGGGTCCGAGGACAGAGCCCTGAGGGACACCGCACGAGACAGTGCGGGGGCTGGAGGAAAATCCGTTAGTGGAAACAAAATGAAGACGGTGGGAGAGGTATGACCTGAACCACTCAAGGACAGGGCCTTGAAGGTTGAGGTGGGAGGACAAGCGGTGGAGGAGAGCATGACCGACCGTATCGAATGCGGCCAATACGTCGAGGAGGACGAGGGAGCCCTGGTCGCAGAGGTCAAGATGTCATTAGTGACCTTGACCAGGGCGGTTTCTGTTCTATGGGCAGCACGGAAACCCGAAAATAGAAAGCAAGATAGAAGAAACATCAGATAATCTTCCAAATAGCTCAAAATGGAAGATACTATTTGAACACAGACATTTTGAGCAACACAGACAACAGCTACTTTGATGAATCTCGGATAGATAATCTAAAGTTTTTGCAACAGCAATTACCTGTCTTTCTTGGCTTTTCCTTTTTGCTGTTTCCCAGCAAGAGTTCGGAGTTGTTCTTCTGTCGGGTGCTGATACCATTGCAAACTATAACAAATAAAGGGCAAAATTTCAAAACTTTTAAAAATATTGCTAACAATTAGCGTTTCAAACTTACACAACAGAGCTGAAAAAGTGCTTGAATGGTGTGATGACTGAAAAGGTGCTTAGGAAATCAACAGTTTTCTGTAATGTATTCTCTGCATATCATACCAACTAGAGAAGAGCAACTTTACCTCCCAACCGAGATCTCCCAGGAGATTTGGAAGAACAAACTCGGATATCAGAACAACATACACGTCTTCAACTTTTACAGCAAGTTGGGAGGTAATAAAAAAAAAGTAGTGTGGCATAAAAGGTATCTTGGAAGTAGCAATGGAGCAAATAAAGGAATTCTCTGTTAACTCATGGAATTAATGTTTACAGCAACAACTTGCACTTATATATCGCGCTCCACAAGGTTAGCATCTCAAGGCACTTACCAGAGGCGGAGCCTGACCGAGCCGGGGGTGTGTGTGTGTGTGTGAGATGGGGAGTATAGATGAAACAAGACTAAATTTAGAGCATTAATTTTTTTATTTAGAGTATTAACGTTTTGCTCACAAATATACGGTCAATTCACTTTACAGCACATTCTGTGAAGCACTATATCAAATGCAAGGATTATTATTATTATTAATTGAGGCAGCAGTGTTTGGTTGGACTTGTTAGAGACTGAAATAAACTGAATCTCTGAAGAATTGAAATAAAAGAAAATATTGCATTTGCTCCAAGTGATGTGGAAGAGATCAAAGATTTAGTGATGCACTATTGCCCTGAAAGAATACTGCAGATTAAGGGAATGATTATGTAATTTGATCCTAACTATTAATATTGATACAGGCTCTATGGAACAGCAAAACCTTCCATTTCCAGAAATAACACCCCTCATGTTTAGGCATAAAATAAATTAATCTGTTTTTCAGTAGAAGACAAGGCCCAGTCTAATATAGAGATACAACCAAAAGAGCTCCAAGTGAGTCTATCTGAAACAGTGTACACTATGTGGTGTCAACCTGGCTCAGTTGGTAGCACTCTAAATCAGAATATTGTGGATTCAAGCCCCGCGTAAGGGCTTTTAAATCAGTCTAGGCTGATACCTGTACTCCAATACAGTGCTGTTGAGATGGACATTAGAAGATCCCATGGCACCATTCATAAAGATAAGGGAGTTTCTCGCAGTGTCTTGGCCAACAACCCCCAGATAAATCTGGTCATTGAATTCATGGCTGTTTGTGGGATATTGTTTTGCGAAAATTGGCTGCCGTTTGCCTATGCTCTGCAGTAATACCTGTGAAGCACTTAGAGACGTCTTCGCAACATGAAAGGTACTGCACCATCTAGTGGGATTCCATGATTTTAAACTGAATGAAGGCACGTGCTCAGTTGACATAGACCTAGAAATTGACCATTTCCATTCATTCAATGGAATCAACTTTTTTTAGTTTTTAATGTAAACCAATTAATAATTCTGTCTGGTTGAGGAAAGGATGCCGATTTTGCTGAATCAACGCAGATACTTGTTGAATGAATCATTGATTCACAATTCAGCATGTGCAGGGCATACATTTCATCTAAAATACTGGGCCCATGCCAAGTACAGTGCGGGTCACTTCACTAATTTCTAATATTTAGGAGACTCTAAAATGAATCATTAGTTTTGAATCATAAATTTGCTTTAAAAATCTTAAATAAAAAAGCTGTTGCAAGTTGATCATGTGGAAACCTCTCAGTATTCTTCAGTACAGACTTATGACTGATCCTTGTACTGCAGTACATAAAAACAACCAGCTTCTTACCCTATTACATTTTCAAGAGGATAAAGTATTCAGTTAGCTAAAATTTTGCTTTTGCACCACAATTTTCCCACTCTGTGCCATTCCATGTCATATCTCATGTTCACAATGGAGCAGCTGATATACAAAATAATTAGAGAAGCAGACCAGTCACTGGGAGCTGGGATGTTTTCTACTTGACGCCAGATAACCCTGCAAGTCAAAGACATAATCAGTGGTCCTAACTGCACAAGCAGCAGAAAGCTTACCTATCAGTGTTATGTTTTTAGCTGGTTAAACTCCACTGGTACCTCCAATGTATGGTTTGGTAACCCCAGGCCTTTGCCAACCTCCATGTAAATTTTCTGGAGTTAGGTAAGTGGGGTGCATTCCTCTGGGGAGGCACTGTGCACATCATACCAGATAAAGCAGGAATCATACGTTTATGGAACTAGTCATTCAATTTGGTGAGTTCCCATGTATGGTCCTGACCTGACTGACAAATAAAAGTCTTTCATCCACTGGAAAGAACTACTTTGATCCCAATTCCCTGCTCCTTTCCTGTAACATTTAATATTCTTCCTCTTCAGATTCCTTTTCCAACGTTATAGTCTCTGATTCAACAGCCACTTGTGGCATCCATGTTCTCAACCCATAGACTGATGGCTCTCTGCGTGGAAACTTCCGACTATTTTGTTTGAATACAGGCTCACATTCAATTTATATGACATTTTAACACACAGATGAACTTTGCTGGACAAATGCTAATACAGTAAATAAATGGCTTTTGACAAGGTTTCAAATTGGTGACTGATGGGAAGCAAGGAGTTATAGAATTGCGGATATAATGAGACACTGGTTAATTAATTGCATGAGGAATAGATTACCATAAAATAGTTTTTCAGGATGAAAAGAGATTACCAGTTTAGCAATCCAGGAGATGGCTATTGATTTGGTGAAAGATAGTAAGCCTTCTGTTGCTCTTCTGAAAATTTCCTTCTAGCTCCAAATACATTATCTTGTAGTCTATACCTCCTCCTTACTATGCTGAATTCAAACATCATTGAATTACTTGCTACTTCAAATTTCCAGGGTTTCTAAACTGTAAAATGTACATCTCTCAATCTTCCCTCAATCTAAAGATTAGCAGGTATTAAAAGCGCCAACTTTGGTGGCAATCCAAGCACTATTTCTTAGATTGGTTTAATTTTCTCTCACATTTTCAACAGTCTACTTGGCCCTTCGCCTCAGTTTCTCAATATATTAATAAAGAGGAAATAATTTTGTAGATGATCCTACAAGAGGAAGCAGAGCAAGTCATAAGAAAGAGATTTAGAAATGTTTGGATCTTTTAGACAACTAGGCCACTGGATGGATATCAAGTATAAACAACTGCAAAATACATTAACGTGGAATTAAAGAACCAAAAGAGGGAGAATGTGTTAAATATATTGCCTTCAGCAATCTATCAAGCAAGATCTAGAGATTAGTGTGGCAACATTCATGAAACTGCAGTGTAACAGTTATAACAAACATGCTTTGTTCTATCATGGGTACACTTATTGGAGAGTAGGCTCCCTACTACACCCAACCGAGAAATACTAACTGGCTTCTGGTGTGTTAAACTTCCAATGCCAACTTCCAAGTCATCAGTTTGTTGTCACTTCCTGCACACTGCACAAACAACACTGGCAGCAACCTAATAGCCTGGAAGTTGGCCATTTCTTAGTGTGTGAAAAGTCAGTTGGTGTTTTAAAGCCAGCTAGCTTTCTAAGCATACGAGCCTTCAGAAGAGCTGAAAGGCAATTGGACCCAATTATAATGCTGGTTGGGATATTATGGAACCCCTAACCACTCTTATTATAAGGATCTACTTATCCAACCTATTTCTCGACTGCAATAAAAATGGTGAATAGGGTATTGGGTCGCATTAGATTTTCAGTATAACTCAAAATAGGATATTTTGTTGCTGTATAAGGTGCTATTAGATCATGTCACCTCAATCACCTCATAGCAAGGATTCTATTGTACTTGAGAAGGTATAGAGGCAAGCAGCAGAATTCTGTGTCAGCAATGTAAAATATGAGGAAATGTTATGGAAGTTAGATGCATTTCTTAAAGAAATGAAACAACTTTGTGCTCATCTAATGAAAGGGTGGGGGGAGAAAGGCTGACACAGTTAACGCTGGCAAATTGTTAAGGACTATTAAATTCATTGTTTAAATCCACAATTTTTTGTTGTTTTTTGGGGTTAATTATGAGAAAATTCAGATGGGGAAGAGAATTCAACAAAAAAACAGGTAAATTCAATGAAAATTAGATTTTGGAACATCAAAAACTTATAAAAGTACAATACTACAAGCAGTTTATTGGTGAATACAATGAATGAGTGAAACTATTATCCACATTGATTTGTTGTTGCTCCATTGCAGATAAGCAAACAGTGCAGATAATTGGCCACCATACAAAATACAAATGGATTATTGCACTAACTAAAAATTGTTTCAAGAGTTAAAATGCCATTGTAGTACCCCATTGTGCTACTCTCTCTCTCTGCGCCTGCTCCTCTCTCTCATGGAGTGTTCTTCTTTCTTATCTTCTATCACTGTCTCTTTCTGTGGCATTTTCTATCTCCACCGTTACACTGCACTAGTTGGTGCAGTATTAAATGCTTACCCGTGAAAAAAAAATCCTATTGTGCATATAGTTACCATGGACACAAAAATGCTGTTAGCAACTCCACTCACAAGCAAACTGGATTCACAATGCACTGATGCACTGATGCATACACACCTTTTGTAAAAATCAAATTCGAAAGAAAAATCAACTTTACCGATTGATGTACACAAAAAGATTTTGCGCATTTAATCGGTAAAAAACAACAATTTAAAAAAAGATTTTAAAGGCCCTTAAAGTTGTTCACATTGCAAACAGTTCAAAAGTTAAAAGCTAGGAGGAAGAAAGGAAGTCAGGCAAAGCATTCATTATTTTCATAAAGGATAATGCATTTCTAAAATATGTTCCTGGAAGCCATTGAAGCAGACTGCATAATTAGATTCAAGAGACAGACTCATGTTTTCTGGAAAGAGAGGGAATTGAAAGATATGGTAGAGTTTACGTCAACCAAAAAGAGATATGTTGCACTGAAAGATTTTCATCTGTTCCTAAAAATTCTCATCTTCTTGCATACTAATTTGTCTGTCAACCATCTCCATGGCATTTCTCAAGCTCGGGTGTAGAAGCTGATTACTCCGTCATTGAGCACTGGCTCTGCATAGTGTCTTGGGAGTTTTTGTTCAGACAAACAAACCATTCTGCACTTAGGTTTAGAAATGCCAGTCAGATGGCAATCCCAAATCAGTTCATTCACCCACACTATGACAAGTTAATTTTCAAATAGGACTATAACTTAATTGAAACACCCGACCTTGGGACCGTTCCTTTAAATTCTCCACAAACCACAAAATGTTGTCCCAGCACAGATATTCATGTAGAATATATTCAGTATGTTACTTTTTAAAACATCTTTTCACCTTGCAAATTACCTGCCCCACGTTTTACTTTTTTTTGTTGTTGTGAATTTATTGTACTCATCAAGACTAGGGATTCTAAAATTAGAAAATACAATACAAATTACATTTCTATAGTGCATTTCAGGTCCAGAGGACGTCACAAGGTACTGGACAGTCAGGGATTTGGACCCGAGCTAAGGGTCGGGATCAGGGAGGGTGGAGGGCAAGAAGGGTAGAGGGTAACCGAAGGCTCGGTCGAAGAGGAGGGTTTTGAGATGGGCCTTGAAGGAGGCAAGAGAGGGAGTGAGGCGAAGGGAATGTTGGATGGAGTTCCATAGGGTGGGGGCAGAAAGGCTGAAGGCTCGGCCGCCGATGGTATAGCGGGCCATCCGTAGCACGTGGAGCAGGCCAGAGCCTGCTGAGCGGAGGGAACGGACGGTTGACATGTGGTCAGCAGGTCGCAGAAGTAGGGAGGGGCAAGGCCTTGGAGGAGGATTTGGAACACTTTTGCACCAGAGTGACACTACCATCTACAAACAACCAGATTTCTACATTTTCACACCTTCCCAAGTAGGCCAGTAACATAATGCTGAAAATAATTCAAGGCCTTTATGAATTTTTCTATATAATCCATAGTTTTGTAACTGCAGGGAAAATGTAAAACTTATTTTTACAAATAAAGAGGTGGAATGCCTACAAAGCCATAGTTGTGCATGGGTCAATTGTGGGTATGTTCATTACTCTACCAGCAACCATGCAATATCCCTACCAGATAAGTAAAAGTAGGATTCCAGGAAAACATGAGCCATAATAAGTACTGTGCTTTCATATGTATTGCCACTTCAATTGCAATTTGCATGGTTTTCAATTCTAGCAACTTTTGGAAGCACAATGTTTTGCATGTACAAACCTATTTCAACTCAGAAATTTTTGAGTAACTTAGCAAGGTTAATCAACAGGTCACTGTGCAGAAGATACATAATTTTACATAACTTGTACCTCCAGTCAATGTAGAGAAATAGTACACTTCACAAATCATATGATAATAATCCTTGCAATTGTTAAAGTGCCTTATCAAGTCAAAACGTCTCAAAGCGCTTCACTGGAATTACTGTGAAATGGAGTGACTGTATTTGTAGGCAGCACAGCTGAGCACAGCAATATCCCACAAGTGATGAAACGAATGATCAATTTTATTTGGGGGATTATGGGCTAAGATACTGGGAGAAACTTCCTTATCTTTTCGAACAGTGCCATGGGATCTTTAACGTTCATCTGAACAGAATGCACCGATATCTTCTTCCACTAAACATTGCTATTATGACCAATGCTTCCTTCCCAAAACTATATTATAGGGTAAAAGCCACATAGTTTCTTGGGAACAGGTTTGGTTAGGAGGTATGACAATGGTCATCAGTATTCGATTAGGTACTTTTTTTTCAATCTTTTCAGACTAAGGTCACCTTGTTGGTCCTTGGAACTGCTTTGAGTATTCCAAATTTGAATTAGTCACTGTCTGTCCCAATTACAAACATGTCTGGTATATCAGCAGGCTAAACTCAAGTTTTCTGCTAAGCACCTCCAGACTATCAACCATCAATAGGAGATTTACCCAACTCAGTTAAGATGCACAATGCAACGGAAGTCAGAAAGAGAAGTATGAGATCTGGAATTTTGGGCTTAAATACCAACAAAATTGAACCCCACAACCAACATTCAGCAATCCTGAATAAAGTGATGATAAAGACCTTCTCATAAGTACGAAACAATCACACAAATGGACTTAAAGTGAGGTGACCTTACTGATCTTCCACAAGCAGGACATGCTAAAAATCAATGCATTTGCCTTGAGCAAGAATACATTCTCTGAATTAGGCATTGATTGTTCTTGATTGGGTTTCTGTGTTATTCCTTTCTTCAATACAGGCCTCTTCAGACCAACATTAATGGTTGTCACCTTGTTAGTCCTTGGGGCTGTTGTGGGTGTTTCAAATTAGGATTGCTTAGTTTATTTTCTGTTCACCTAATGAAAGATAGGGATAAGAAATCAGGAAGACAAACAGTGACTAATTCAAATTTGGAATAACCGCAGCAGCCCCAAGGACCAACAAGGTGACATTAGTCTGAAAAGACTAAGAAAAACTAAACTCCTAATTCAGCATTGGCAAACATAGCCATAATTCCTAACAGAACCAGTATGTACAGAAGAAATCATTACCCAATCCAGGACCAATAAAAACAACGATATATAAATAGAACACAATATCAAAAACAATATATCAAACATTGAAACATTTTTCCTAAAGAAAGCAAAAGAACAATAGCCCAGTATTAATCTCACAACAATTCTGCCAACCACACCTTGCATTTTGATCAGTCTAAAGCAGCCGTGATTGCTGCTGATACCTTTTTAAAGTCCACTATTCGAAATAGCAAGCAGAACTATTGAAAAGGAGCAGCAATTGCTGTCCTCTAGTGACCATTTCTTCTTGCACTTTTTCAAAGCAGAACCCCGAAAATCAGTGAATCTGTCTTTCTAACTCCATCATGTTCGATTGGTGTGTCACTATCTCTCCTCAAATTAAATCCACTCTATCTCACTTATATTTCTCTTTAAATTCCAGCCTTAATGATCTTGATAAAAAACCTGCCCCATTGCTCAATTCTGTTCTAACACCATATTGAGCATCAAGGTTTATCCACAGCATATTCACTAGCATGTCTAATCTTTGAACTTATATAAAGCCAATAATCCTGATGATATCATTACTCATTACTTACTCATTGAGGAACACTCACCTGTCTTATTTAACAATTCCATTTTCTTTCTCAATTTTCTCACTTCTTTCCTTCTATCTTACTGTCATTTAGCTCCTAATTTATGAATTGATTTGCAGACTGCCGCATTGGTTGTGGCATAATCAAAGATGTGAAACAGGATTGAATGGAATTTAAAAGAATCAGCCATGAATCCAAAGCCTAGCATAGGGAGGAAAGAAGGGCTAGAATATAGCAAAGATAGCAATGCCAAGACAGAACAGATTCTTTGAAATAGTAAAGCTACGGGTTTAGGGGCATACAAGCCAAAGCCTTCAAATCAAGCAAACCAGCAAGAAAATCCAACAAATGTTTTTATAGTCCTGATCACTTTACCAATTCGAATACATACACATTTGTTTCTGCTGCTGTAGCAGTATCACAATAACTGCTGCTCTCATAGTTCTACTGTAAACAGCCTTGAACATGAAAGAAATGACAGAGATCAAAAATATCAAAATAGTTACACATATCCAACTATGTCAAGTAAAGTAGCTTTGAAGTAGGACACAAAAGGGGGTTTTGAAGTTATATCACCGCAAGCAGGTAAAACGATGCATTCAGTATTTTCGGTGCTGCCCTTTAACTTTCCATATAATATTTTCAAGTGATTCATGGAACTGGAAAGGTGGAGGGGAAGAAAAAGCATTCTTAATTTAATGTCCTACTTCCTACAGACACCGAGGAAAAATATTGCAAAAATAGTTGCTCCCATAGACAGAGAGAAAAACACAATACACCAAACTACCTCCAACATATCATCCAACATGACGCCATGGAAGCCCATCAAATTAATCAAACCATATGCGTCCCTGAAAATACAAGTTTAAGAGTGAAAAATACAATATAGGGTTGGAGTAAATGAACCGTCACCTTGTTCTTTCCAGTGTACATTAATATGGGCTAAGAAAGTAAGCTCTCAGGGTCTAAACAATACTCAAATTATTGGCCTCCAAAGGGAGTGCGCTCCCTGGACTAAGGAATGATGTACATTAGTCCAATAAACATTGACTGAATAACACATAAAAAGGTATCTTGTAACGTTTTTTTTAGAGAAAACACATTGATTTAGCAAACACCTTTACATTTAGAGACGTGCACCTTTTGTCTTAAATTAGAAAAACAAAGTGTGGCATAAATAATAATTGTTCCCCAAAAATTCAGAATTTTGTTTTCCAATTGAAAAGAATTCCCTCATACCTTCCATTGCAAAGCAACCAACGAGCAAATGAGTAGTGAGGTGTGATCTTCTGTATGATGCTGGCCATTACCATAGTAACCACCAACTGCACGCCTATCACACCCTGGAGGGAGGGAAAAAAAGGTCTACGTGAACCATATCTCCAAATTGTATTGCTTGTTTCTTAACAAACCACACTTTAAGAGGCAAATAATCACAAACTTACCTTCTCTGAAATAGAGCAATCTGAACACTAAAAATGATCAAACCTGTAATATTTTACTCCATTTCCCCCCAATATCTGGACACTTTCAATCAAAGCCAGTTATCAATTGTGAAAGTACCCTTACCTCTAAACCCCGCCTGGGCTCCAGTCAGCTCTGTGGAGCACTTTGAGTTCAGATACCTCCCTACATGACAGGCGCTATATAAATGTAACATTGTTGTTGTTGATGACAAATAAAGCCAAATAAAGTTTGTGCCTAAATTGAAACACATACTGAACACTTAAGTTTTAATACTGAAATAGATTCCATAACATTCCATAACGTGGAGTCCTGTAGCTCAGTGGTTAGAGCACTCGCTTTGCAAGCGAGAGACCTGAGTTCAATTCCAGGCAGGGCGAAACCTTGGGCAAGTTTCCTTACTCCACACGCCTAATAATAATCCCTCCAAAAAACCCAAAACAATAATTAAATTGGTCATTTTTCAACCTACGACTGTTTGTGGGACATTGCTGTGCGCAATTGGCTGCCGCGTTCGCCCACAAATATACAGTTAATTCACTTTACAGTGTGTTCTGTGAAGCGCTTTGGGACGTCCTCCTGACGTGAAAAGCGCTATATCAAATGCAAGGATTATTATTATTATTATTATTATTATTAATTGATATGCCAATACGTTTTTTCCCCTATAATATAAAAATGATTTAGTGAAAAGTAGATTTATCTAGATCCCCTCTCTCGATCTTGTGTACAAAACAATTTACATTTATATCGCCTTTCACATCGAGAAGAGATTTCAAAGCGCTTAACACAACTGATAAAGCCTGAGCTGGGGGTATGGTGAAGGGGGGGGTGGGGGGGCTGAGGGGAAACGTGATCAAAATCACAGTTGAAGAGATGCATCTTCAGGCAGATTTTGAAGGCAGGAAAAGAGGGGGCAAGGCAAGATTGTGAGAGACTAGGGTGGAGTTCTGGACACAGAGTGACTGAAAGTTGGGCAACAAACTTTTACACTATTGCTTCTAGAAGGCATATGCTGTATTATCCAGTATTTTTTTCCTTCTGCAGAAAACACATTTTACAATATATACACACACAGATGTACACACACCTCCAGCTTAATTTACTTAAACTGTGTTACAAATTTTACACAGTAGTGAGGTATGTTCAATACATGAATGAGGTTAATAAAAATATGTTCTAAAGACCTGTCTCAGAAACAAAGTTAGTATCATTATTAAAATCATTAGTAACTGCTGATTAGCCAATAGCTTACTGTGTGGATCTATATTAAAGCTTTTTTTAATATAAAGATTTTGAATGTGGAAAAATCTATTGAAACCAAGTAATCTCTTAAGCTTATGGCCTTCAGATTCAGTGTGGAGTAGAGTTGATCGTTAGCAAAGGTGTAAATTCTGCAACTGTACAATCCACCTTAGCTACAGAAACATCCGTCACAAACAACTGCAGTACTTTTCCACTTATGCCAGCATGAATCCAACTGCTCACACCAACTACAATATATCTTATTTGGCAGGTGGTTATAGTGGCCACTCTGTCTCCCTCTAAAATTGGGATTGTTGTCACCAACTGCCCTATGAATGCACTACCTGCATAGCTGTGAGTATGCAAAATTTGAAGTGGGTGTATGTGCAACCAGAATAATAGCCATATCCCAAGTTGACCTGGGGAGTGCCTGTGTGCAAATACATAAACATAAATAGAAATCATAGACTTACATCGGGACACACAATGGTTACTGGCACATTTGGACAGCACCATATGTTAGACTGGCATTGATCCCAATTCCAATTGAACACAAGTACTCCCTCTAGAATTGTGAAGTGCAACAATGCTTAATATGTCTACACAAAACTTTTGTTACACATACAATCCGACCAAAGTGAATGCACAAGACAGACTATAATAATAGATTTATTCACAGGAAACTGTAGCAGTCGAATTCCCTCATATTTGTGGCAATGAGTTGGGAAAAATCTAATCGAGAGACTGAAAGGCAATCACATAGAGCAGCCTCCATTTTACATTTAAGTAAAATGAGTCTGGCCTTTAGTATTTTCAATATAATATGGTAACAAACTTAAAATAATTACCTTTTTTTTAATCTAAGGGAAAGTGACCTTTGATTTTCACTCTCTCCAAGGTCAGAGTTAGCCTTCTCTCAAGATGCACACCAATCGCTCTCCCCCAACCTCCAACCCAATGGCTAGGATCAGAACTGGCAACTATAGTCCTATAGTGCTCCAGCGAATCACCGTTTGAAAAGTCTGAGGGTGAAGGAGTGATAGGGAAGAGCAGGAATACTTTCCGTTTCAGGGCACTCCCCATAGATCCAGAGGAACTTACTGCCACAAACTTATACTTACAGTAAGGATTTCTCGTAATAAACAATTTTATAACAACATTCTTTTTCTCAATGTCTAGAAGGAGTACTTTGAACAGCAAATACTCCCCTGAACTTTCCTTTTGAAAATACACAATGACAACTGACTCAATGCTATACATTTATACTTCACTGAGAATGCATCATGGATCCCATAAAGGTGATGGGTGTCAGTAACCATGGGGAGCTCTCGGCTGCTGTTTGATCTCAGGCAGTAATTTTTGAAATGTGTAAAATGAACTAAAATAAGGCACTGGCTCAAAATATTGCAGGAAATGTAATTAAAGAACAATGATCTGCCTGGACTGTTCAAGAATCAACAACATCAACTCAATTACTCTGCTCAGCTTCAAGTCTACAGTACAGGAACCATCGATTAGCTAAATCAACATACTTGGATAAATTTGTCACAAACAAGAATTTGTGCAATGCATTAACATCATGTGATAATACACACAATTGTCAACCAAGCAAAACTACTGACATGATCATGCACGATCCTCACTTAAAAAAGACCACCCTATGCAAAAGAAAACAGCTTATGTCATATCAAATGGAATACAAATCAGAGACTAATAGTGAAGTAAACCATGTGACATAACTCACTTTCATTTGTGACATATTTTTGCATAACTCTCCTCAAAGTAGTACAGGAAAGCTAAAGAATCAAATTCTTCTGATTTTACAATGAAAGTAATGTTCTTCAGATTATAATAATAATAATCCTGCTGTTTTTCACCAATATTTCTCCTCCAAGGTTCCCCTCCTCATCTCCTGATTGAGTTTGATCCCTTCGTTTTTTTCTATTGAGATATACTTCAGTTAAAAAGCTATTGTTCTACCACCAGTAGCTTACCCAAGCGGACATTATTTATGGGCAAATCTTGATAATGAATATTCATAAGTTATTTAACAGCAAGTAGCATTTCATTCAATTCTGAACCATTCAGTGAACACTGGTAATTCTAGATCTATCATTAGTGGTAGGGTTTCTCATGCTCAGTTTCTATCCTACACAGCCACTTCTTTCTCCCCACCCCCAACTACTACCCAGGAAGAATGAACATAGAGCCAAAACAGGAATGAAATTCTCCATTTTGGAGAAAATTTTTAAATTATACTGAGATGCAAACAGATTGTTCTATTGTTGTGGAAACAATAAATGTATAATTCAAAAAGGGCAAGTCTGGAACCTCAGTGTTCCTGAACGAAGGAGGAAAATAAAACAGTATTCTAGATCTGATCACTTTCCAGCTGAAAAGTTTGGAGTTAGGAATGAACATTGTTCAAGGGCAGGATCAGCCTTGCCTGAATCCATGTTTTGATGTCCAGCTAGAATTCTCAAGTGTTCTGGGATATCCTCCCAACACGAAAGGCACATTACAAGTGTAAATTGTATTCTGTTATTGTATTGTAACATCTTCAAGCTGCAATGTTGCATCAGCTGTCCTTCGGATGAGACGTTAAACTGAGGCCCTATCTGTTTCTCCTTGTGTCCTGTCGAACAATCCCCCAAATGAAATTGGGCATTCACTTTGTAGCTGTTTGTAAGACATTGCTGAGTGCAAATTGGCTGCCGGGTTAGCCCACAAAACATATACAGTCACCCCACTTTTCAGTATATCCTGTGAACTACTTTGCGATATTATAGATGCTATACCAAATGTAAGGATTATTATTATTGAAGAGGAGGAGGATAAATATATATTGGCTTATGTGTAATTTATTTTTCTTATCGTACATCAGTACCAACACCTTAAGCCTTGTGGCAACACCTGGCATGTATGTTATTCCAGTTTGTTATAAATCTTAAAACACAATTCAGACATACACCACAATGGGACAATGCTCGTAGTAAGACAAAAGCAGTCGCGGGAACAGAGCCCAGAGTCCAATGTAACTTTATTTTAAAAAGTCATATACTATTCTCTCATATTCAATTCATTTCTTCACCAATTACACACAATTACCCAATTCGCTCTTGAATTTGTTGAAATGATTTTTTTCCACCATCTATCCAGTTAATCTAATCTACATATTCATCAATCTCTATGTAAAAGTAATTAAATCTGAACCGTCTGTTCACATTTTGCATATAGAATTTCACAGATGAATGCAGAAACAGGCTATTCGGCCCAACTAGTCTGCACTGGTGCTCATATTCTCTATACACGAGCTTCTACCCCTCCTAATCCCCTCTACTATTTCTCTCCATCTCAAGTACGCATCAACTGAGTGCTACACACCTCAGCAAAGTTCTCCCACCATTTACTCTCCCTTTCACCACTGTGCATCCCAAATTAAATGTCACCTATATTGGGGTCAGCCAGTCTGCCACATGTGGAAATCCATTACTATGCTTAACAGTTTCCAAACCAAACAGTTCCATATAGGTATGCCACCGACACAGGGAAATTTCCCTAATTCTCAAAGAGAATGCACACTTGCTCCCTGGAGAGACATACCCTGCTTACCTAATTCCAGAGTACTAAGCAC